CGTCATGGCCCGACTGAAGGAGGCCAACTTGACAGTCAACAGAGAGAAGTCTGTGTTCAGCAAAGCAGCTGTCGACTTCTGTGGCTTCACGCTGTCTGCGTCGGGAGTCACACCACTGCAGTCACAGATCAAGGCCGTGACTGACGCACCACCGCCGGAGAACGCCAAGGAGCTGAAGTCGTTCCTGGGGATGTGTGGATGGTTTCTCAGGTTCGTCCCTGGGTACGCCGAGACCGTCCATCCACTGTACCGGCTGCTGAAGAAGGGCACCAAGTTCGTCTGGGACGACACAGCGAACCGAGCTTTCAACGAGGTCAAGCTGAAGATAGCTGCAAGCCCGACACTGAAGCCGTTCGACCAGAGCCTGCCTACATTCGTCACGTCCGACGGCAGCGGCAAGGGCGCTGGAGCTGTACTCACGCAGCTGAGCGCCGATGGAGAAGAAAACGCCGTAGCGTTCTGGTCTCGGGCGTTCACCCCTACCGAGCAGCGCTACTCAGTGTCTGAGCTGGAAGCACTGAGCGCTGTTCTCGCCGTGGAACACTGGAAACTGTATCTGTGGGGACGTCCGTTCACTCTCCGCACAGATCATTCGGCGCTGCAGACACTGCTCTCGCCCAGCTTCTCGGGGAGAGCGGGCGCGAGGATCGCGCGTTGGCAGGCACGCCTGCTGCCGTATGCGTACACAGTCCAGTACGTGCCTGGCCGGAACCTAACTCCTGCAGCAGACGCCCTCTCCAGGATGCCAGTTCCTGCCGAAGAAGCGGACCTGCATGAAGACAGCTCCGCTGAAGAAGAGGTGATCGCTCTTCTGACAGATGAAGAGAGCGTGCTGACCGAGCAAGACGTCCGCACCGCATCAGCTGCTGATCCTGAGCTGCAGCAGCTGCGTCATCAGATCAAGCGCGGCTGGCCGAGCAGCGCCAAGGCCTGCCCGGTTGAAGTCCAGCCGTACTTCAAGATGAGACACGAGTTGTGGGTGCGCAACGACGACGTCATCCTGAGAGGAGCCCAACAAGTTGTTGTGCCCGTTCAGCTCCGCCGCAGATACCTGGAGCTGGCGCACAGCGCGCACGACGGAATCGTCCGCATGAAACAGGCGCTGCGGAATCTGGCGTGGTGGCCCGGCATCAACCGTGAGGTGGAGGAGCTGTGCCGAAGTTGCGAGCGCTGCCAGCACAGCGACGCAGTCCTCTCCCAGCGCGCACGGCCTGCGCCCATGCAGCCAGTCGACCTGCCGGACCGCGCCTGGTCGAAACTGGGAATGGATATCGTTGGTCCAATCAACGGAGCACCAGCGACTGCCCGTTACGCCATCACTCTGATTGACTACAGAAGCAAATGGGCGGAAGTCTGCCTGACGTCATCGACTGAGACTGAAGACGTCATCAAGTTCGTGTCAACTGTGTGGGCCAAAGAGGGCTATCCCGACGAGATCGTGACGGACAATGGGCCCCAGTTCACGAGCAGGGAGTTCACTGCGTATCTGGCCGCCCGAGGGGTGAAGCACACCAAATCGTCCGTCTACTGGCCTAGAGGCAACTCCGCCGTAGAGCGCTTCAACAAAACGTTCAAGTCGTGGATCACAGACTGTCCACCAGCAGCGTTCATTGACGAGGTACGCAAGAGCCTGGCGGTGTATCGAGCCACCCCACACACGACAACTGGGAAGTCACCGTCAGAGCTCCTGCATGGACGACAGATGAGGCTGAACCTGCCTGTCATTCAGCCGTCAACACCAGGAGCCGACAGTGTGGCGTCTCGAGTTCGACGCCGACAGCAGTCCAACAAGAGGTCCTACGACCGCCGCCGTGGCGTGACGACGCCGCGCATCACTGAGGGCGACTACGTCTGCGTGAGACGGCAGGGACACCGCTCGAAGACGTCCTGTCGGTTCACGTCTCCGGTGCGAGTCACTGGGCGCGTCGGTCCCGCAACGTACCGTCTGGCTGACGGCCGGACCTGGAACGCCGCCCATCTGGCCCGTCTCCCATACGCGCCGGCGTCTCCCTCCGCATCTCCCCCCGCTGGGCCCGGCGAGACCACGTCGACCGCCACGACTTCCGAGGCCGACACCGCTGGCCCGCTGACCTCGCTCGCCGCTGCTTCTCGCCCGTCGACCGAGACAGCTTGCGAGCCGTCGCCGGACGCCGCCGATGTGAGCGTGCAGCGTCCCAGGCGAAGCGACCGTGTCTGTAGACGACCGGACTACTACGTGTCGCAGTGATGCTGTTCCTTTTTTTGCGAGAGGGGGGAATGTGTAGTGTATCGAGTACCTAGTGCATCGGGTGTCCGAGGCTCGGCATCGGGCCCCCGGTAATACGAGTGTGAGGCGGCCGCACCCTGCTCGGCTCCAGTCAGAGCCAGCAGTCGAGAGGCTCCGCCCGGCCGCACAGCACGGCAGTGCCTTAGTGTTCTGCACCGCGAGTTTGTGAGAATACATCGGAATCCGGAGACGGCGGTGGACACTACACAGTGCTACTGTTTATGATGATAATCATTGACACAACATGCAGTTTTGCAAGGCTCGCCAACACGCATTGCTGTCATGATCAGGATGTTGATCAAGTCAGTTGATTGGCTGCCAGGCTTAAATGTATTCATCCGCTCGCAGGTCATCGCGCCTCATCATAGGGTGGTTGAACCTTCTGCAGTCTCTTGAATGGTCGATGGGTCTGTGGTGCGAAGGGTCGGGCGGATGGAAGCTCCCTACCCTTCAGTAACAGGTCAAACGGTCAGATCGGCTGGCCACCAGATCCACCGTCCAACCATGTTTGAATGCCTGAATTCTGAGCCACGCAAGAACGACGCCTGTGCCACGCCTGAGCCACTTCTGAGCCACGTCTAGCGTTGCTATTCATCAGAAACCCATGTCAAAGCAAGCCATATCTATTCAAAGCTACTCTCAAGCCCCGTCCGAGCCACGTCCCAGCGACTTCCGAGTCCCGTGGCTCACCCTGAGCCCGTCTGGTCACGTCCGTTTGCCGGCCGCATTGCGCCGCAGCGTCTGTGCCGGTCTCTCAGCACCCGTCATCAGCACCGCGGAGCGTGAGGCGCCGCCGACCGCGGCGCGGCGGAGGCCGACCCCAGGACCGGTTCTCCGAGCAGCGTCAGCGCTCGCGCGGGAGCTGATCGAGTCTCGGTCGGGTCTTGATCGGGTCTCGGTCGGGTCTTGATCGGGTCTCGGCCGGGCCTCGTTCGGTCAGACCACTCCTCCGTCAGTCAGGAATCGGTCGAGTCGTAGATAATGGTTGGATGGAAAGTGCTGACCCATCAGCTGCCTTCGCCGGGTCCATGCGTCGGACTGACGTACTTAGTGTCTTGAGTTGAAGGTGCTGACATGAGAGTATTGGTACAAACCAAGTCACCTCCGGTGTTTAGTCGGTGTGTGGTATCAAAATTGGCCCATAGTGGTCTACGTCGACGCAAGCTAGATCGTGCCCGTATGTGCAGGAAGCCTTGAAATGTAATTGTTGTCGAGCTCAGGTCAACTGAGTTTGCATCTCTTCGGTGGTGCGTGCACCACCTAGATCTATCATCATCTGATATCTGAGCATACATAAAGATGAGCGTTTACGTCAACGGGAATGCGATTTTCAGCAGATGCTTATCTAAATCGAGTCTCTTCTGCGAAACGGTGAAATGACTTTTAATGAGACCAGCCTTTACACGCCGCGAGGGTGTTGGATTCGCTGTCTTCCGGAATGCTGGGATGTTCCTACACAGTTTGCTGCCCGGGATACCGTATACGATTATGCAAAGAAAAGGGAACACTATTTACATTAACTGTTTCAATGGAGTCGGTTCCATCTCAGAGAAATTCCACCGCACCGTTCTGACGGACGCAAAACAGCGTTGAACTCGCCACACGTGTGGATTGACTCACTTCGCGAAAACCTCATCCCGTCGAGACGTGCACGCCACTTCCCTGAAGCGGGACAGACAGCTGGCTTCACACAATCGCCGGGCGCTAATCGATTTCCCGATACCGCGAATTGCGACGCCGCTGGTGGTGGCTTCTCCGCTGGGCGGCAGTGGAAACCCATTGTCTAACAGGAAAACCATCTCGGAGTACCGGCGCGGCGACGGCCGGGCCCATTTGCCGGATTTACCCTGCGCGGCACTAACAAACCGGCGCCGCCGCCAGCCGGCGATCAAAGCCGCCACCGTCGGCCGGCGCACATAAACGTCCGACTGACCTCTTCATAAATCTGCGGCGGCGCGCGGTGCCGTGCGGCCGGCCGGCGCGGCGCTAATGATTTCCGATCGGCCGCCCTCTCGGCGGGGCGCCGTCCGAGGCCGGCTTCTGGTGCCGGTAATCGGCATTGCCGACGGCACCGGGCCGCTGACCCACACCGCCGCCGTCAGCCCAGACCGGTCCTGATGAGACCCACCCGGCTGACCGCGGCCGGGGCGGAGATGCAGGCCGCTGGGACAGGGTGGCGGTGCGCTGTGGTGCAGGGCGGTGCGGTGCGGTCAGAAGGCCTTGTGTAGGGTGTCGGAGGGCTTTGTGTGCGGTGTCGGAGGGCTTTGTGTGCGGTGTCGGAGGGCTTTGTGTGCGGTGTCGGCAGCCGCCGGCGGTCCGATCTGAGAGTGCCGACCGCCGGGTCTCAGACAGCCCGGGGCGCCGCCGGGGCTGTTAAAATCCCCAGTCCCTCCTGATGAGTTCGGACACATGAGATGGACAGATTTCTTGGAGAGTGGTGGCCGAAAGGCGAGGTAATAGAGACTGGCGTCGATGAAGGCAGGTTTCGAGACAACCGGAGGTCCTGCGTAACACGCGAAATTATATGGGGCTATGTTGAGATGGTTACTTTCTGCGTGTACTAGCCAGCTGGTTGTGCAACTAACTGGTGGGAATTTAATGCCATAAACCTCCCAGATCACACACAGTGCTAATGATGGTTTTCAGACCACTCAGTCTAACTGTTCTGCAGCTTTTTCGCCAACCGTTTGCTCCGCTGAACAGCCCCAACTGACGGTCGTTTCTCCCGTTCCAGGAGCACCCGTCTCTGCGCGGCACTCCTCTGGCAATGCTGGCCGCTCAGTGCAACAAGCTCACCAGCCGGTCGCCGCCGCCGCTCGCCGACGCCGCCATCGGAAAGGGATTCACGCCGTGGCGTAAGGGTGGCGGGGGAGGCGGAGGAGGGGGAGGCGGCGGTGGCGGAGGGGGAGGAGTAGGAACAGGCCCCGTCCATTCGGCGCACTCTCGTCAAGCCAGCTCGGGCGGCGCGCTCCCTTACCAGCGCTCGAACGTCGCGGCGGCGCCCGCCTCCCTCGGCACCTACAACGGCGGCGAGTACTTCTGCGCGCCGGGCGCCGACGCCGGCCTGAAGGGCGACTCGGTGGGTGCCCACCACCTCTCCATGTACGGCCGCGTGCCGTCGGTGACCGGCTACGAGCAGTGGCCGTTCGCCGCCGCCGGGCCGGCCGGAGGCGGCGTCAAGACCGAGATGGCCGCCGCCAACTCGTGGTGGGACATGCACCAGCAGGCGGCCGCCGCGCAGGCCAACTGGCTGGAGATGTCCAACGCCGCCGCCGGCCAGTTCGGCGGCATGACGCAGATGACGTACCCGGTGACGTCCGACTACTCGTCGCTGGGGCTCGGCTCGAACGCCCACCTGCTCGCCGCCTCCTCCGGACAGCACCTGCTCTCCGACTCGTACAAGTCGATGCTGCCCGGCCAGACCATGTCCTCCGGGGTGGGCTCGCCGTTCGGGGTCGGCCTCAGCTCTGTGGGCTCCTCGCGCTCTCAGAGGCGCTACACGGGCCGGGCCACATGTGACTGTCCGAACTGTGCGGAAGCCGAGCGGCTCGGCCCGGCAGCGGCGCTGCAGCTGCGCAAGAAGAGCGTCCACTCGTGCCACATCCCCGGCTGCGGCAAGGTCTACAACAAGACGTCTCACCTGAAGGCCCACCTGCGCTGGCACACCGGTGAGCGGCCGTTCGTCTGCAACTGGCTCTTCTGCGGGAAGAGGTTCACGCGCTCGGACGAGCTACAGCGTCACCTGCGCACCCACACCGGCGAGAAGCGCTTCGCGTGTCCCGTGTGCAGTAAGCGCTTCATGAGGTCAGACCACCTGGCCAAGCACTCCAAGACGCACGCGGAGGGCAGTGTCGGGGGCGGGAAGCGGGGCTCGGGCTCGGACTCGGAGTCGCAGAGCGAGGGACACAGCGTGCACTCGCCGGCGTCACTATCAAACGGAGCAGCGACGGAGGACAGCAAACTGGGATAACATGGGAAACAGCAATACATACAGCCAGCGGCACCGAACGAGTGCCGTGTTGCAGCTACTTCAAATTATTCAAAAGGTGTGTCTAAAACGCTTTTCAACGAATCGTAAGTGCATTTGCATGCCTCCGTTATCTAATTTCTTAGTAACCTTTTCCTTCACTTGTCATTTTACCATTGCATGGTAGTTCAACACTGCAACGTAGTATTCATACCTGGGAGAGCAGCCTTCGGGAGCGACATGTTCTGGTGCCAAAAGTTGTGCGTTACTGCGTTACTGCCCTTGCATTTTGGTGGCAGTCATTGAACTACGATGTCCAGTCAGGTTAACTGTGATCGTTCGGCGAACTGCCGGACCCGTGACCCTGACGCTCCTCAGGGGCGGGTTGCCTGCAGGGTTGGGTACTAGCGCCTCCGTCATTTGTGTATCGGAGAAAGGCCCCAATGGTGGCTGGAAAAAAGCTTCTTGGGGGGGGGGGGGGTGCAGTTTTTGATTGGAGTTTGGAAAGGTGTCCAAACCCGTGTCGACTGCCAGGCGTTGTAGGGTGCTCGTTTTCTGATGCAGCTGCTGGCCCAGGAGTTCCTGATGTTCGATTTCAATGTGCGGTATGTTCTCAAACTTTGTATGACAATTGAAACATGTGTGTTCCCGTGAAATGCGCCATAATAGCTTCCACTGGATTACTGATACAATGTGATGAGTGTTTGTCGCCATGTGCGCTGATTGATGAAGCTATGTGTATGACGTGAGTGTATGTCATTGTGAGATGCATTGGACGGTATTATGATTGTCATTGTATAAACGCATCGGTGATTTAATGAAACTAATAATAATATGAAGGTAACAATAGACATGTTTGTTTTGCAAAAGAAGGACAACACAAACATTCTTCAAACACTTCATCGACCGACAACACTCATACGTTCATCACCTTCCTCGTGACTAACTAAGCCGGACGAGATATTTCTCCATGGGCCCAAGCAATCAGCTTGGGACTACGCCAAACAACTTCACTGCATACAGGGCTGCGATGAGACACTTTCAGCCGGCGTGGCGCCGCGAACGATGTGACAACAAACACGTCCTCCCTGACAGGTGCCTCACCCCCACCCCTGCCCTTCCGGCGGCTCGTGTCGGGTTCGTCGGGCTGTCTCCGTCTGCCGTCGGCTCCGCCGTGTCGTCGCTGACGACGGTGGCACGCGCCCGGCTTTGATCTGTCGTCGGGGCCGCACCCTCTCCCGCGTCGGCGGCGGCGCGGAGAGGCTCCGATTACTGATGGATTATCGCCGGCCGCCACCGGCGACGCTGCGGGACCCCGGGTCATCGGCGCCCCCCTCCCCCCTCCCGACGGCCGGTCCCCTCCGGCGGGGACACACGAGCGCTGATGAGTCTCCGGGGCCGCCGGACAGCGGGAACCAGTAACTGAATCAGCGGACGGAGGATCGAGTGCGGTTAGGGAGCGCAGCAGCGGGAGATGATTAAACAGAGTTGGATAAAAGGGGAGACCGTAAAAAACAGCGGCAAATGGAAAAGGGTGCCACATGGAAGGCAACTTTTAGATGTGTTTGTACTCATAACTTAGTTATCAACTATGCGTAATAGCTCTGTAAAATGCAAAAGAACGGGAACCACTCATGATACCACGAAACATCAGCAATTGTATTTTTCAGATATATATGTGTCTCACTACAAAATAATAACTACAACATTTATCAACAGCACAGCAGCCGTCATCAACCATCTTGTGTTATCGAATATCGATTGCACACAGACCTTTATACATCAGCAGTGTACCGGCTAAATCTCCTGCTAAGATATCACGATTCACGACCTATTTACTCGTAGTTACAACAAGGCGGTCATGACCCCCTGCAACGACTGCCTGATTACGATTAGACAAGGGCTGATACGGTAGGCAGGCTGTTAGACAAAGGTACACGGTAACGCATCGGCAAGTTTTATAAACACTCTCTCCGGAACCAGCTAATAAGCAACAGGTTACAAAGCGGAGAGGAAGCTCTTACTGCCGCTATATAATGACGTGATACGCTGTACTTAGTAGGTACCTACTGTTACTACTTACATATACCTACTGTTAATGAAGAACACAGCACATGGTAGTTATCTGAACTCTAACTTTCTTCGCCCCATTCTACTTCGCCCCAGACACAAAAAAACGTGACTCGCATTTCTTCGTGGACATGGCTTTAGCACAAGAGATGCGAAGCTACCTAAGGACGGAGAGGATGAGAAGCCCTTATACCCGCCCGGCCCCCGTCAGACGGCTTTATCACTCCTCTGCACGTGAGGAAACGGTCGCCGATCATTCAGCGGCGACTTTTACGTCGATCAGCGTGAACAGGCCGTGAATCAGGCGTGAATCAGGCCGTGAATCAGGCGTGAATCGGGCGTGAATCAGGCGTGAATCAGGCGTGAACCGGCGCCATCCATTGACGCCGGCGGGTTCCGAGTTTCCTCGCCCGGTCACGGTAAAACGACGCCACGCCTGACGACCCTCCGCGGCGGTGGGCGCGCACAATGCGCCAGGTTAGCCGCCGTCGCGGCGCCACAAAGGCCGCGTCGCTGTCGTCTTGTGTGCGCCGCAGTTGTCGCCATTGAGACGCGCCGCCGAGTCGCGTTAGTGACGGGAGTTGGATGTGAGCGGGGACGTCCGAACGACTCCTCTCAGAGCACCGCCAACGTACCAGCTCAACTTGATTCCGAGCTGAGATATCTTTGGAGAAGTCTGGACTCGATTTAGACAAGTGATGAGACTTGGGCTCGATATTGAATTGCAATGTTCTTATTACATTGCTCTTCGTTCAAGGAATCACTGCATTGTCTTAATCGTCCCGGCGATGTAATATTTATATCGAAAGGGATCTCGAAACTACTTGCTCCAATGCCATTTGCATTCGCCCGCAACTATGGCAGATATGACGTTTTTTGTGTCAATGTCAAACACTGTAAAATATCAAGAACAATAGAACCATTTGATATTGTTGTAGCTCGCCAACTAAGTAAATGAACGGCAGTGGGGGCATAGATTGGTGATCATCAAAAATCATCAGGTAAGTACAAAACAAATAGGTTCAAACTGGAGAAGAGCAGTGGGTTAGTCGACTTTCAATCTCCAGTGACCCAAACAAAATAACAATGCAAACGAACCCCCTTCCGATCCATCGGAGACCAAATGAGTACACACAGTTCCTAATATTTTTGGACGCCTGGTTTGAAATCGAACGTCCCCACAGACCGTCTGTCTGTGCTCCCACCCTACGTTCCAGCCGGGCCGGGCGACGGGGTGACCGGCGTGGGGACTCGGCTGTCGCAGCTCATCAGGTGCCCTGCTGTCACTGCCGGTCGGTGCGCCGTCGGCCCGCCGCCCGGCCCGTCGGCCCGTCGGTCGGACCGGGCGCGCGCCGGGCCGGCCGTCGGGCCGCGTTTTCCGCCGCCGTGCTGGTGCCGGCCGGCCCGCCCCCCGGCGCCGTGGCCCCGCCCCACTGACCGGACCGACACCGGACACGTCACAGCCCGGCCGTCACGGCCACCCAATCGGGCAATGTGTCCGCCCGATGTCCGCCCGATGTCCGCGCGCTGTCCGCGTGTCCTGTTACCGACCGGTGTGCTGTGGATGGGACGATGCTCACACGGGCATCCCCATGTGGGTATAAATGTGTATTCAGGTCGGTATAAACGTGCTAAATTGGGTGTGTTCGATTCTTTTCACGGCGCTCGAATAATGTAGGGGTAAATTGAGGAATGTACTTATGGAAACTAAAAGATGATAAATTATTTTAATTATTGAATGTAAAATGGACGTTTTTACATTCCCGGTTGAGGCTTTGTTCCATGGGCGCCTGATCTTCGCTGATCCACATAACATCAGTTCAGAATAAATTGCATCTCGCAATGCAGTTAGAACCTCGGTTGTCGCCAGCTGTTATTCGCTTCGCTTCATGTGAAATCAGACTGATAGCACCTGAAAACAATGCCTTCAAAGTTCAAATGCTATTCATCCACAGACATGTTATGAGGCACAATTCCTTTTTTTAGAACAAAGAAAATCAACTATTGATATGCAATATGCAATGACGCATGCACTTTTGACAAATAGCCACTATCTCATAATATGACACATCTTCGGCTACCTACCGAATACTCAAAACTCTTGCTACTCGTGTCGCATTCATCCCTTGCCCCGCAGTCCGGCAAATGACCCGCTATCTTGGTCTGACGGCCGTGCGTCAGCCCGTCACTTTGCATTATCTGCCAGCAGGGGTCCGTTCGTCACTGTCCGCTGTTCCGCGACCCCACCTCAGCACCCACAACGGTCCCCACTGAGCGGCCACCGCGCAGAGGCCATTTTGGCTGCAGCGCGGCGATGGTGTGATGATTGCAGCGCGGAAACCATCCGTCCTCCCAGACGGCACATATTTTACGGTATCTACCAGCCGGGTAGTTGATCATCTGAAGGCGCATCAATCATGTAAAACCCACCGAGAGGTACCCGGCAACACCGTGCTGCTTCTTGAATGTAAAATGTTTGCAACGCTGCCACCGATGCAAATAAAACCACGCGCGGGTGGGGAAAAGCGGCAGGGATCGGGAAACCAACAATCGTGATGAACGCCCTCCATCCTGCGATGTTGATTTTCATTGCTCTCTTAGTTACAGCTAAATTCCACTAAACACAGGGTTTTGCTGAGAGGTGCATGGCGCACGCTCCTCCATCCGAGCCGCATTTGGCAGCGCAGTAAATTGCGGCCATATTACGCGGCGCCCGACCGTATATCGCGGCGCTACAGCGACGGATGAGCCGTATTACTTTCAGAGTAATGAAATAATACATACGTTGGCGGTGATTGAGCACCGAGGGGCGGCCACTCGGGAAGAGCTGCAACATAAACAGGAATATAAAGCGCGAGTTATTCGCCTGTAAAGAGCACGAGTTATCGCCGCTCGGCGCCATGGCCCGTGCTCGCGAGCTAATGTTTCCTGCACGCTTTAGTGGCGAGCAGCTAACGGAAGAGTTCGCAAGTCGAGTTTAAATATTGCAGGTGTGGTGGCAGAGCTGAAATTGGATCGGTTTGGTGTGATCGAGTGCTTGCTTTTTGTGCAGGGCTGCAGGCGGATTTGTAAATAGAACTGCCTCAGCGAGATTTCTGACGCCTGCCTGGCCCTGACCTGGCGATGACCGGCATGATCTGTCAGGTGACCTGCTGAACAACCGAGTTTGGAGATGCGTTGGGACTTTTAGATTCGGACATAACAACACAACATAATCCGTAACATCTAGCAATCTGCTACAGACGTGTTGAACTTTCAAGAGACACCAATTGGAAAGTGTTATATCTCTTCTTATGTCCTGTAATCGCCCCAGTTATCACTTCATTCAGCATTACCTTTCTCGCCACCCCGCACTA